TAAATTGACCTACATGACTGAATGATTTTTGATTTGATCATCATCATTATGCACGTGCCATCATCATCATCGCAGCCCGGAAGACGTCCACTGCTGGACATAGGCCTCCCCTAAAGATCTCCACGACGATCGGTCCTGCGCTGCTCGCATCCAATGCCTTCCAGCGATATTGACCAGATCGTCGGTCCACCTTGCTGGAGGCCTTCCCACGCTGCGTCTTCCGGTCCGTGGTCGCCACTCGAGGACTTTACTGCCCCAACGGCCATCTGTCCTACGAACTATGTGCCCTGCCCATTGCCACTTCAAAGTCGCAATTCTTCGGGCTATGTCGGTCACTCTGGTTCTTCTGCGGATCTCCTCATTTCTGATTCGATCACGCAGAGTAACTCCGAGCAAAGCCCTCTCCATTGCCCTCTGAGTGACTCTGAGCTTGTTGATGGGGCCCATAGTTAGAGACCACTGGGCTAATTATGTAACACGATATGAAATTATTTCTGTTGAAGTTGTGATGCAATATGAAATCATTTCAATTTAAAAAATGCGATCAAGTAAGGTCGAATGACCGCAACATAAATCATTTCTATCGATAAAACACTACTATGAAGTTGCAGCGGAATATTGTTAATCCGACCAATTTAAAAAGTCAGTACATTAGATAGCTTATACCTTTAGAGGGATACATTTTAATTTATTGGGTTGTTACACTAGTTGGTTGATTTGAAACAATTTTTATTGCGTTCAAAAATTACAAAATATACTGCAGCGTTCACTTGTTCTTTTATTTTAATTTTATTAATAGACATTTAATAAAATAAAATAAAGAAAGTCTATTCTATTCTAATGAAAAAATAAGGTTAATAATTTTGAATATAAAAGCATATTTTATACAAACTATTTATAATCATTAATAATATTAATTTAACCTACAAATTAAATTTTCTTTTCTGCTATACATACCTAGGTAAGTACGTAGGTATCCATATAAATTTAAAATGATATGGGCACATCTTTTTAAATTTGTACATAATTGTAAAAACTTTAAACAAATAAATTTATTTACTTTAAACAAATCACAGAGCATCATAAACGTTGTATTCCGTTCACAGAGCACCGTATTCATTGAAATAGTTTTTTAATTATATTAATATCATAATCAACCCTAATTTTATATTAAACATTTACTCTAGTTAATACAACATTCTATGTGATTTGGGACGAAAATAAAATATCGAATTGGCAACACTGATGTCGTGTTGTGAGTCGTGACAATTTTCCCATTTTAATAAATTTAAAACCTTTTCACGACTTTCTACGTAATGTTTAATATAATAAAAATATATGTAATACTGAAAATTACCAAAACAAGATAAATAATGCTGCTAATGCTGATATTTTAAAGATTGTAACCAAAAGAAACACCTTCTAAATTGTTTCTCATAATGTAAAAACCGTTTCAATTCCACGCTGTCATTTCGGCAAAATAGCGATTACGTGACGTTGCAACGAGGTTACTAAATCGACATTCGATAGAAATAATTTTTATCGATATGTAAAGTTGCGTTTACGTTGCAATGCTAGTTGACAGCGTCAAATGGCGTCTATATGATCGCATTATTGACAGATGACGTCATTTTTACTACGTTACATACGAAAATCGTTGCGAACGAAGTTACATAATTAGCCCACACGTCTCTGTTCCGTAAGTCATCACTGGCAACACACATTGGTCGTAAACCTTCGTCTTGAGACACTGCGGACTTTTGTGAAACTAAATTCAAATTCAAATACAAAATATCTTTATTCATGTAGGTCTATTACAGACTCATATATTATGTCAAATCTACCATCAGTTCGGGATGATTTCGAAATGAGAAAAATTGACAAGAAACTCAGCTCGTATTCAAATAAATGTTGTACATGTTTACAATAAAACAGATTCATTTAAATTCAAATTTGGAAGAATAGAGTGGTCACCAGCATATGCTATCGCTAAGAACAAAAAAATTAATCAGTGTTCGCAACCTGAACAGTTCACAAGTATGACGATGAGCCAGCCATTATTCCAGTCAACTGTATTTGAGGGAGAACATCGACCTCGACATATATCATATATAACTCTAGAGACTAGATTGACTCTTTATATTAATAAAAACACTGTTTCGAAATCCGTTGCATAGTTTTAAAGATTTGAACATACCTAAGGACGGACTATGTAGTGATGATTACAAGCATTTCATAATAATTAAATAAAATAAATAAATTAATTAATTAATTAATTAAATTTCATTTCATTTATTATTTGTTGCAGACGGCTTTGTTTGTGGTACAAATAATGCCGGATTAGAGCTTCGTCATTATAGGAATAATCCATATTCATACTGCGAGTTGTTCGAAATCAATTAATGCCGCTTGTTATGCACATTGACTTGCTTTTATACTAATTAGTGTAATGAAATGGATTATAATGACAGCCTCGGTGGTCTAGTGGTTTACTATCCGATGGTAGCAGGTTCAATTCCTCGCACAGTACATAAGTTAGTCATGAGTACGATTGTTTGTATCGGTCTGGGTGTTTTCTATGTCTAATATGTATTTATTTAAAAAAAATGTATCTATATATTTATATCACTTGTCAAGTACCCATGTTTAACTTGGGACTGAATGGCGCTTTGTGAATAGAATAGAAATAGAAAATCAATTATTCAAATAAACTTTATTTAAGCACTTTTGAATAGTCATAACAATTTGTTTTTTATCTACCACTCGTTCGGAAAGCTGTCTCATCACAAGAAGAACGAGCAAGAAACTTGTGTGTTGCTCTTTTAAATAATCCTTGTAAGTTTACATTTACAAGTCGAAACGTGTAAATACAAACTACCAACCAGCACTAATTTTTTTGGATCAAATATACAATAAGATTAAATCAGTCGTAGTGATAAGAGCAGACCAGTCCCTACAAGCAGCACTCGGTCACGAATATGACGGATCAGCCAGCTATCACTGCGCTCGACCATATTTTAGGGAGCCCAATGACCCGGCCCACCACGCCGCCACATGTCTGGACATTTTAGCGAGCATGACTACTCATTCCACTCGACCACGTCACAGCTACTAAAAATTACTATATGGTAGTTACAATATTCGATATATTCAAATGATGAGAATATTTATGATTTATTTAATGTATTGTTAATATTGGATTTTCATTTTAACGTCGACCACAACACTAATGCTGCTGTCTGCCATTATAATAATTATTCGAGGAAGTGCATGTCCACTAGTGTAGTTTTTATTGGATTTATGGTCGCAGTGATTTTGTTGGCGTGTACATTTGTAAATCCATATATAGATGGTAATCAAACGACTGCAACAATTAAAACAAATGTATGGTGTCATGTTATCTATACATATCTACATTTATACATCTTTACATGTAAATAAAAGTGGAGTGTCTGTTTGTAATATTGAAATAACCGTTTTTTAACATATCTATACTTTTATACATCTTTACATATAAATAAAAGTGGAGTGTTTGTTTGTAATATTGAAATAACCGTTTTTTACTACATGCCCATGAATATGAATATGGTACATACACCAAAATAATATTTTGTACAATTTTTGTCTGCCTGTCTGTCTGTTTGTTCCGGCTAATCTCTGAAATGGCTTAACCGATTCTGAAGGGACTTTTTTTGGCTGGCAACTACCAGCCAAAAAAAGTAATAATACGTAATACGTAATAAGCAGTAACTTAGACTACTTTTATTTTAAATTCCAAATTCCACGCGGACGATGTCGTGTGTGCAGCCAGTTAATGAATAATACAGAGATTGCCTATTAAAAATACTCGTAGTGTTCATTATTCACCTCTGAATGTTGACGGATGAATGCGGAACTGTTGGGACGTGAAAAATCCAACTTTACAGTTCAAAAAATTCATAACTCATCTGAAGATAGAAAGTTGCAAATTGGTTAAGAACTTACCAATTTTCTACTTTATTTATTTATATAACTTCAATGCACAAAATACCAAGGTACATACACATACATAGTACATACATATGGACCTTAACGCCTTTCGGCATTTTCTACCAGTCAACCGCAGGTTGTGCAGAGAAACTGTAGGCGGTGCAAATGTAATCAATAGGAAAAATAATATCTGTGGCATAAATAATATATATTTACTAAAAGTACAAATACAAATACATATAATATATATAAAGCTATAGATAAATATGAATAAAATACATACCTAAATCAAATATACCGTATAACATACTTTTAACTTTACTTACTCAATCTAACTTAAAATTCATAGCGCTAACAATGTTATCTGATTGAACAGAGATTAATTGCGTAGCGGTTTCTATGGATTGTCGCATGCCTAATCCTTGTTAATGTAAATCTTAAAACAATATATATTAAAAAGAGCAAAACACAAGTTTCTTGCTCATTCTTCTTGTGATGAATGAGTGGTCGAATTAAAAATGTTTATATTAAGTTTATTTCTATTTCTACTAGTAACTGGGAATGAAACTCAACAGTGGCATAGTTTATTAGAATAGAAAATCATTTATTCAAATAAACTTACATTGAAGCACTTTTGAATAGTCATCACAATTTTTTTTAATCTACCGCTGATTCGGAAAACTGTCTCATCACAAGAAGAACGAGCAAGAAACTTGCGTGTTGCTCTTTTAAATAATTTTATTATTACTTTACATTTTTAAGTTTAAGTGTGTGAATAATTAGCACTAATTCAATTAAAAACTCAAATAGAAAAAAATATTGAATATACAACTGGTTAAACAATTAATAACAGGAAATTAGTCATAGTGATTAGAGTAGATCTCCATACAAGCAGCACTCGTTCACGAGTATAACGGATGAGCCAGCCATCACTGCGCTCGACCATATTTTAGGGACTTATTCTCAGACACTGGTGTTACCAGTTATAATTTCTTGCAATTGTTTTACATATTGCCTTTTTTTGTTGCTAGGTGGAGCTGGCGATGCACGATGGCACGGTGCGTGATGTTTGCTTCATCGAGGACACGTCCAACAAAACCAGTTTGCTGGTAAGCGGTGGCGCCGGTGACTGCAAGATATATGTCACAGACTGCGCCACAGGGAAGACCTTCCAGGTGAGAGACGAGAATGTTGCTTACTACTTGACACACATTGGAAACATCAATCTATACATACCTATATATAAATTCAAATTTAATAATCATTTATTCATGTAGGACATTTTAGCCGCTTATAAACGTCAAGTTTTTACATTATAATAATAATAATAATCTAATAACAATTCACACAGCTCCATCTAGACCCGAGTTAAGCTATCTAAAGCTTGTGTTACGGGTACTAGATAACTGATACAAGTACATAGATATTTTTTTTTTTTCGTAAATACATACATAATATACATAGAAAATACCCAGACCGATACAAACAATCATACTCATGAATACAAATACCGTATACTCGCACGGCACAAACATTTGTGCCGAGGAGGAATCGAACCCGCGACCATCGGACGTAAAGCGGTGTGCTAGACCGCTAGACCACCGAGGTCGTCATTATAATTTTTCCAGTTCGGTATATAGATCCAATTGAGAACTGGCAAGAAATTCAATTGAATTACTTTTTTTTTAAAGCCAGTTTATTTACAATGCATAGGTAGTTGTATAGGTGCCTATGTCTAACATTAAATGAAAATCCCGAACATGAAAACTATTGCCATGCACGCTCGTCATTCAAGTAATTGTTTAGTGAGTATAAAATTGGACTATCTGTTTGTAATATTGAAATAACCATTTTTTCCTACATGCATATGAATATAAATACGGTACTTACAACAAAATAACATCTTTTACCAGTTTTGTCTGTCTGTCTGTAGGTATGTTTATTCCGACTAGTCTCTGAAATGGCTGGATCGATTTTGACGGGACTTATTGGCAAGTAGCTGATGTAAATAAGGAGTAACTTAGGCTACTTTTATTTAAAAAAAAATAATATTCCACGCGGACAAGTCGTGGGAACAGTTAGTTATATATATATATATAAAGTAGCTGTGAAATAATGAAAAAATATTCAATAATTTAAACCAAAATAGCCAAGGAAAAAGATTTCTTAGTCCTAACTTCATAAATGATGAGTTTCTATACAAAGTTTCATCGCCTTACAACCGTTTTATCGCATTAAAAGTAGCCTATGTATAGACTGTGTACAAAATTTTATTTAAATTGGTCCAGTAGTTTTGGTGTAACAGCGAGACAGACAGACAGAGTAACATTCGCACTTATAATATTCGTAAGGGTGAATTGGTGTTCGTTAGTCTCGCTAAAACTCGAGAACCTCTCAACTAATTTGGCAGATTTTAGTCTTAAATATTCGTGGAAGTCCCAGGGAAGGTTAAAACGTTGATATAATATGAAAAAATTAAATAAAATAATGAAAACAACAATTTCATTTCCCCATACAAATTATTCGTACCTGTCAAACAGGGTGTGTTCAGAAATTAATTGCTTTACTAAACTTAAATAAACCTATGGCATTTTATTCAGTTCTGAAGCGGAATGGAGATCGCGTGGTTAGATAGCTTTGTATATATATATATATATATATATACTAGCTGTCCCACAGTTTTTGCTTATTCTTCTTGTGATGAGACAGCTTTCCGAATAAGTGGTAGATTAAAAAAAATTGTTGACTATTCACTAAGTTTATTTGAATAAATGATTTTCTATACTTATTCTATGGAAAAAGATGCACATAAATTTAATGCATTTCTGTATATACCTATATATAAATAAACAGTAATACATACTTGGAAAACTTATATCATTAAGAAGATACGACTCGCTACTTCCTCGCTAATAAGATCTTATATAGTTGAGTGATGCAGCGTCATTGGAAATCGACCTCGCAGATTTCTGTTTCTGCATTTATACACATAATATATTATTATATAAAATGTGATACTTAGTATGTCACTAATAAACAACTGCATCGTGCTCTGTAGGTTCAACAAGAAGTTTTGAAACAAATAAAATCATACAAGGAAATAATAAAAATCATCCCAACGGCTTAGTGAACACAGTGATGAAAGTGAGCCAAACTTGTCGCAGATTAAAATGCAAGATGCAATAAAAGTGAAATAGGATGTGTGTGTGGGACATACCCAGCATGCTTTCCTCCTATCAACCCACCGTCGAACTCAAACGGGGATCGAAATTACGACAATCTGGGCCGAGGTTCGGACCCTTTAGCTGGCGTCGAATACATCAGGCGAGCTATGGCCTTCAGCCGCTTCATAAGTTATCTGCATCTGCATCTGGCCAACAGCATTAGAGTAGTCCGAAAAAAATCGAGCATGACGAGAACCCAACAAACTGATAAATGTACACGATAAAAACAAAAAAAAATATGACACGTCACGAGTGATATCCCTAAGTAAGAGTATGTGTATATTGTTAGATTTTTATATTTCGGTCGCGAAAATCTTTTGCTATAGTAACGGCAAAAGTTTTAATTGTTTAATGTATTTCTCTAGACGGGATAACTAAAGTATGCCTATATCTAAGTACTTATATAACATATATACATATATAACAATCTATTGTAATATCTATGTAATGTGTCATTTGGATGCTCGAGGTTACGGAATCCGATTATGAGCATTCTTTCAGTCTAGAATAGTCCATCTTTCAAGCCAGGATATACTATATCACGAATACGATCAATAGAAGTTGAGCTGCAACGAAAAATGTTAAAAAACACTTATCATATAGGACATTTTAGCCGCTTATATAATATATAATATCTCAGGACAATTCACACAGCGCCATCTAGTCCCAAGCTAAGCAGAGCTTGTGTTATGGGTACTAGACAACTGATATAAATATATGGATACATTTTTTTTTTGTAAATAAATATATATTATACATAGAAAACACCCAGACCGATACAAACAATCATACTCATGAATACAAATATTTGTACCTACGACCATCGGATAGTAAAGCGGTGTGCTAAACCACTAAACCACCGAGGCTGTCAAAATGTCTTATGAACTTATTTACTTAAAAGGCTTATGAACGTGAAGTTTTTTTTTTATAATTAATATTTCCCACCGTCCAGTTTAGAATAGAGATTCAATTTAGAAAAACTGACAAGAAACTCATTTCAATACTCAAACATTTTTTTTTAACACGTTGATCGCCATGTCAGTCATATGTGTCTGACTCTAAGAAGTTCTACATGTGTCCTGTCAGACATACATGTCTGCCGTACGCGGTTTAGTAGAAGGCCACAGCAATCACAGATGTCCGCAAACGATACATTTGCAATATGTTTCGAAAGCTTGACCTATCAGGAACAAAATGAAATTTTCTTGGTTTAATTGGCTTGTTTCTTGACCTATCAGGAGCAAAATGAAAATTTCTTGGTTTAATTGGCTTGTTTCTTAACCTATTAGGAACAAAATGAAAATTTCTTGGTTTAATTGGCTTGTTTCTTAACCTATTAGGAACAAAATGAAAATTTCTTGGTTTAATTGGCTTGTTTCTTAACCTATTAGGAACAAAATGAAAATTTCTTGGTTTGATTGGCTTGTTTCTTAACCTATTAGGAACAAAATGAAAATTTCTTGGTTTAATTGGCTTGTTTCTTAACCTATTAGGAACAAAATGAAAATTTCTTGGTTTAATTGGCTTGTTTCTTGACCTATCAGGAACAAAATGAAATTTTCTTGGTTTAATTGGCTTGTTTCTTGACCTATCAGGAGCAAAATGAAAATTTCTTGGTTTAATTGGCTTGTTTCTTAACCTATTAGGAACAAAATGAAAATTTCTTGGTTTAATTGGCTTATTTCTTAACCTATTAGGAACAAAATGAAAATTTCTTGGTTTAATTGGCTTGTTTCTTGACCTATTAGGAACAAAATGAAAATTTCTTGGTTTAATAGGCTTGTTTCTTGACCTATCAGGAACAAAATGAAAATTTCTCGGTATAATTGGCTTGGTTCTTGACCTATCAGGAACAAAATGAAAATTTCTTGGTTTAATTGGTTTGGTTCTTGACCTATCAGGAACAAAATGAAAATTTCTTGGCTTACTACAAACAATAACATTAAATAAATGAACGTCAGACATTTATAATAATTACGGCTTGTCGATAAAAAAGTATTAATATAGAGCCATGTCAGTCACATGTGTGATATAAAAAAAAATTTTGGGAATTTTGCCAAATAAAAAAATTCGTTTTTTGATACATTTTATCTAAATTATCTAATAAAGTTATCATGGCCCATGTGAAAATATTTCTGATATTATCGAGGCGATTAACGTGATAAAGTCAGTTTCTTTATTTTGTACACTTATATACGTGTAATATTAAATGATACCACGCATGAACAACTATTGTCGTGCACATTTTACAATTGTATTTCGTTTTTTAATTGCATCTGTTAATGGCGATCGCTTAAACTATAAAATCGGACTTATTCGAATTGTTTGTGTATATGATTTATTTAAAGCGCCCCGATGAACTTTCCGCAACAATAAGCAACATAATTGCTGCAGTTAATTCCAATAATCGGATTTATGCAAACGTAACTTGTTGAACAGTAACAACCAACTGTTGGCAAGTCCAATTAAAATAGGTTGAATAGGTATTAAAACTAAAACCTCTTCGATTATTTATTTCATAATATTTAAATACACAACGCTGTGTTTTCGATATATCGATTGTCATTTGTTTTTATGTGCTTCAATATGTTTGTGTCACTGCTAATTATATCGACATTTTAGTAAGTATATATAATTACGATTTAATTTACAATTTGGTGTTTTATAATTATTTACAATGATTACATCCACGCACCACGTTGAGATTCACACAGTATCTATAATATTATATGTATTTACTTGAATTTAAACTGAATTAGAATACGTTAAAATATTTCAAACCTCTCACAAACTTGTAGCTTTAAATGTAAATAGAAGTAAATGCACTCACCCTAATATTCCTTGAAATGCGTACAAACATTCAAAAGGGTGATGCATTACTAGATGGCGTTAGAAAGTTTCTGTCAGCTTGCATCTCTCTCTCGACTGTGAAATACATTTGCTGGTTTGAC